GATGAGGGGAAAGGATGGACTTTAAATAAATGGTGCTGGCATAGTTGAGTAAATTATATAGACAACAGAAATTTTGATCTATCTTTTTTTAAAAATCTACATCCAAACAGTAAAAAATAACACCAGATATAGAGGTTAATTATGTGTAAATCCATGATATTATTAGAAGAAATTTTTGATTAATAGTTAAATAAATGTATGTGGAGAAGACTGTAATAAGCATACCATCAAGGGCAGAAACTATAACTTAAAAGATGGAAAGATCTGACTGCCTAAAAATTTAAAATCCCTTTTCTAAAAACAAAGAACACTGTATAAATGATCAATGGCACAGTGTACTTGAGTGGGGAAACCTTACGCAACATATATAACAGAAAGTTAATATTCTTAATATGTAAAGAGCTATTATGAAATAAAAAAGAAGTGGACCATAAAAATAGAGAAATGAACCAAAGAACATATAATCTTCCAGAAAGAATTACAAATGACCAATAGACATAGAAAAAGATGCTAAGCTTTACTAGTAATCACAAAAATACAAATATAAATTCAGATACCAGTTTTCGCCTATGAATTTTTGGTGATTAAAAAAGATAGTCCATCAAGGACAAATATAATAATGCATAAATAACCACAATGGAAGAAAAATAACTGACTTACAAAGTATTTTGTTGGGTCAGAAGAAAGAGAGAGACTTCATCTGCATTGTGATCAGGACATGGTGGTTTGAGGCTCTTTGAATTATAGACATAATATTGACAAGAGGTGAGAAATGAGGAAAAGTGTATCGCCCTCTCTTCTCAGAAGTTTGGCAATGGGAGGAAAGAAAGATAAGTAACCATAGTTTTGGTTTTGTTATGGTCAAGGGATGTGGTTTTAAAATCAGGGGGTCCTGAGAATCCTTGGAGACAGGAGGGATTAGTGGAGAAGGAGAAACTGAAGCTGTTAATATAGAGAGGTAAAGTGGAAACAGAGAGGTCCATAGGGAGATTAGAAACAAGTAGGCAAGAATACTTCTCAGAAGTAGAGGAGGAAAAGAAGTAGAAGTACGAAGATTTTTGAACGAGGAGGAGAGCTGAGAAAGCTAAGATTGTTCTTGCTCAATAGCATTAATCTTCGTGAGGTAGTGACTGGTAAGAGATGGAGTGCTTGTGGGACAAGGAGAGTGAAAAAGGTTTGTAAGGATTATACTTTCCTTTGAACTAGTATAAAAAATGCAAAACAGTACAGAACTTCTGGGATTTGGATGAATAAAGGGAAAAACCTACTCTGATGCAACTCATTGAAAGCAGTTGATGGGGGCCGGCCCCGTGGCTTGGTGGTTAAGTGAGCGCGCTCCACTGCTGGCGACCCGGGTTCGGATCCCGGGCGCGCACCGGCGCGCTGCTTCTCCGGCCATGCTGAGGCCGCGTCCCACATACAGCAACTAGAAGGATGTGCAGCTATGACACACAACTATCTACTGGGGCTTTGGGGGGAAAAAATAAATAAATAAAATCTTTAAAAAAAAAAGAAAGCAGTTGATGGTCGTGGTGTTCAGTAGTGCAGATTATTAAACAATCAATTATTCTTATTGAGTGAAACAAATTTTTGCTTACATATTTTGTTCACATTATGTTCCCTATACTAAAATAGTACTATCTGAAAGAATTTTAAGTCTTTCAGGAACCTTTTAATCTAGTTGATGAGACATTTACACACTAGCAGTTTTAAACCCAGCATACATAGTATAGAAAATATTTGCAAAGAGTTTTTTAAAAAAAGAAACATCACTTGGACAGGAAAAGATTGATAAAGTTTCAAGGAGAAAGTAGTTTTTGAGCAAGTTCTTCAAGAATGAATGTGATTTGGAATGGCAGGGCATTAGTAAGGAAATAGGAAGGAGATAGATATGGTGTGTTTGAGAGAGGGAAGAACTGAGCCTGGTGGGGAAAGGGCTTACATTGGAATGCAGGGAGAGACATGGCAATTGAAAGGTGACATAAGATTGTAAAGCCTTGAGAGCTAGCTTAAGGAATTTGGGTGTCATCATGGAACAATCCAGTCTGTGAATTTTGAGCAAGGGAGTAGCCTGGGGAAGTTGTTGATTTACAAAGATTTGGTGGCTGTGTGTCAGATACATTTGAAGTACAAGACGGAATAGGTTAGAAGCAGAGAGACCAGTAGGAGACTTTGTGAAGTCCTAGCAGGAGAAACAGTAATTTCTTGGCTAGAAGATTATTTAAATAGTAGAAATAACAGAATATGGTAATTAACTGAATATTATGGGTTAAAAAAGGAAATAGTAAAATGGTAGCTTCAGTCTTTTGGCCTCTGACACATGGAAATTTATGCTTTTATCACAGAAAAAAATTGTTGAAGCTGAGAGTCAGGAGTCTTTCTTGGTTTTGGAAATGTTCTATGAAAATGATTGAGTTTAGATAAAGATTTAGATTGGAAATACAGAATAGATAATCTATAAGAAGATGTTGGTTTAAGTCTTGAGGAGACAGACAGAATTCACCATGAAGAGGTAGGGCCCCTATGAACTTTAAAAAACCAAACCTGTGCTTAGCAGCCTTATGTTAACTGCTGGTTTGCAATGAAATGAAGCCCCTAAAGACCATTCAGTCTTTTCACTGGTTTATTATTCTGATTAAGTTTTACAAAACCTTTCCATTATATGGCACATATTTTTAGTCTTAGAACCCGGTGTTTGTTACTCAAAGGTATACACTTAAAGGTATATATAATAACCTACAGCATAATAGGAAAGAATCAGTTATAAACTTAAAGCTTACTTTAACTATCAGACTCTACCATATCATCAGGCAGACCTGAGTGCCAATCTTCCCTTACCAGTTTACCAGGTGCCCAAGGCTTTACTCATCTATAAAATTGTACCTTGAGATTAAATGAGAAAATATATATAAATTACATTCATCCAACAAGTATTTATTGAGCACTTATAGGTACTATGGGAATATAATGAGTTTAATTTTGGATTTTTAGTTTGAAGTACATTCAAATAAAATTATCCAGCTGGCCATGGGACATACAAGTCTGAAATTCATAGGAGTAGAGTAGAAATGCACATTTGGGAGTCAGTGTATGTAGCTGGTGATTAAAACCATGAGCGTGATTGAGATTCTATCAGGATACACATACACACACCCTATTCACCGTAGGCCAAAGACAGAGTCATGGGAAACACCAATGTTTAAGTGGTAAATATTCCACAACGGAAAAGGAAGAAATGATCAGAGGTTTAGGAGAAGGCGCAGAAAAGTATGATATCACAGAAGTCTATGGAATAGAGTTTCAAGAAAAAAGACAAACAGAATTAGTGGCAATGCAGCAAAGAGCTCTAATAAATTAAGGATTGAAAACAGCATTCCTTGGATTTTCAGTCAGGAAATGTTTTAACTTTAGAACAGCAATTCTAGTCGAGTTATGAGAGCAGAAGGTAAACTATAGGGGATTGAAAAGTAAATAAGAGATAAACTGTAAGCTACTATTTCAAGTATATTAAATGGAAGGATAGCAAAAACATGAGGTCAAGAGAGAACTTTTTCCTTTTAATGAGAAATTCAAACTCAATTATTGGATAAGAGGAGGAACTTGTCCAGAAAAAGGAATTGTAAATACAAGAGAGGGAGCTGATTGAGAAGGAAGGGGTGAGAATGTGGGCACCAGCGCTAAGTTACCTTTACCAGGAAGAGGAACACCCTGTCCACTGATGCCTGAAGGATGGAGCCCAAGATAGAGATGGGAGTGAGGGGGGAACAGTTGAGGGAGATCATGCATTATGCCCTCAGTATGCCAGGAAGTGGGAGACCAGTGAAGAGGTCAAGATTTAAAAGGACTGAGGAAGGTTAGGAATAGCCATTGGGTGTAGTGGAAGTGGAAGCTGACCAAGGACAAATAAAAGGATCACAACTAGGGCAGCAGTGGGGGTCTAGCCAGGAGGGAGACCGTAAATATGTAGTAGCAAGGATGTTCATGGCATATGGCTTTCCCTGGCAGCTCTCAGATACTTGGGTAATTAATAATGTTAATTTTCCTTGCCTTGGGTGGTTAGGTGGATGCATGATCATATGAATAAAGGGTCAGACAAGTAAGTTAATTTCAGAAATAAAAATCCATCCTGTCTTTCAGTGTTTGGCCATGGCTGTAGAATAAAAACCAGAATTCTAAGCTAGAATTTTAAGGTTTCCAACATAAAATTCTGACCTTATCTTTCACTACATCCTTACATGTATCACCACATTATAGCCAAATAGGGCTTCTTGCCATTTTTTGAACAATTTTTTCTTTGCCAATTTTTATCTCAGTTATTTCGCTTCTGCTACTTACTCAGCTGTAAAGTCCTCCATCTTTACTTTTGAAATCATAACTATTCATTAAAACTCAGTTTATTTGCTACCTGATCTTTGACCCCAGCCAGAAGTGATATCTGTCCTTCCAACATTTATAATTCCTTGTTTATACCACTTTTACATTACTTTTCATTTATTTCAAAATATTTTAGTTTCCACTAAATTTTAAATTCCTTGAACAGACACTGTATTATATATTTATCCTAAGTAGCAAGATAGGAACTTTAAAAGAAAATAACGTTTGGGGGCTGGCCCCATGGCTTAGCAGTTAAATGTGCGCGCTCTGCTACTGGCGGCCTGGGTTCGGATCCCGGCCGTGCACCGACCCACCGCTTGTCCCGCCATGCTGAGGCCACGTCCCACATACAGCAACTAGAAGGATGTGCGGCTATGACATACAACTATCTACTGGGGCTTTGGGGAGGAAAAGGGAAAAAGAGGAGGATTGGCAATAGATGTCAGCTCAGGGCCCGTCTTCCTCAGCAAAAAAAGAGGAGGATTGGCATGGATGTTAGCTCAGGGCTGATCTTCCTCACAAAAAAAAGAAAATAATGTTCTGTCTTTTCTATAGGCTAATTTTAAAGGTATATTTTTAAATGTTATTTCATTAACCTCTTCTAATGTGAATGTTTTGTCCCATAGGTATGGCATGAATTGCCTTATTCAGTTTGAAGATTTTGCCAATGTAAATGCATTTCGTCTCCTGAACAAGTATCAAAACCAATATTGCACATTCAATGATGATATTCAAGGTAATAAAATTTTTAATGCATATAGATTGAGAATAACATGTCCTGAAATTAGATCATAATGTTATAATGATTCGACTTCCTTAAGTATATACTAAGTTTCTATTAAATGCCAGGGTTATGCTTGATGATTTCGCACATTACTTCTCGTTTATTTTCATGTATTTGAGAAAAGTATCTGTGACTCGAGAACGCACCGTATTATCTATGAGCTAGAGAATGAGCTCCCTGAAATCTGATAAAATCCTCAGTGATTATGGCTAAACAGAGAACGAAATGTTTGAAAATATATTATTCCTTGTTCATTTATTGTTTAAAAAGAAGAGCGAAATACTGCTTTCTTCAGCCTTCATCTCAATCAGCCACGATTTCTAAGCTTCACTCCAGCAAAAGCTGCGGTGTATACAGCATACTGCATTTTACTAGTTGTCTTTTTTTTTATTGAGGTAACATTGGTTTATAACATTATATAAATTTCAGATGTACATCATTATATTTTGATTTCTGTGTAGACTATATCGTGTTCACCACCCATAGACTAATTACCATCCATCACCATACATGTGTGCCCTATTACCCCTTTCTCCCTCCTCCCTCCCCTGTTCCCCTCTGGTGACCACCAATCTAATCTCTATATCTATGTGTTTGTATCTTCCACTTATGAGTGAAATCATATGGTATCTCACTTTCTCCGTCTGACTTATTTCGCCTAGCATAATACTCCCAAGGTCCATCCATGTTGTTGCCAGTGGCAAGATTTCATCTTCTTATGGCTGAGTAGTATTCCCTTGTGTATATATACTACATCTTCTTTATCCATTCGTCTCTTGATGGGCACTTAGGTTGTTTCCAAGTCTTGGCTATTGTGAATAACGCTGCAATGAACTTAGGGGTGCATATATCTTTTTGACTTAGTGTTTTCATATTCTTTGGATAAATACCCGGAAGTGGAATAGCTGGATCATATGTTATTTCTATTTTTAATTTTTTGAGGAATCTCCATACTATTTTCCACAGTGGCTACACCAATTTACATTCCCACCAGCAGTGTATAGGGGTTCCCTTTTCTCCACATCCTCTCCAACACATGTTATTTCCTGTCTTGTTAATTATAGCCATTCCGACGGGTGTGAGGTGATCTCGTTGTAGTTTCCATTTGCATTTTCCTAATAATTAGTGATGTTGACCATCTTTTCATGTGCCTGTCAGCCATCTGTATATCTTCTTTGGGAAAATATCTGTTCATATCCTTTGCCCAATTTTTAATTGGGTTGTTTATTTTTTTGGTTGTTGCATTGTACGAGTTCTTTATTTTGGATATTAACCTCTTATCAGCTATATCAAACTAAAAAGCTTCTGCACAGCAAAGGAAACCACCTTCAAAACAAAAAGACAGCCTAACAATTGGGAGAAGATATTTGCAAATCATATTTGTCTTTAATTGGTTGTAGATGCTTGACTACTTGCTTTTGTCTAAGTAACTTGTTTTTTTTGTTTTTCTCTTTAAGCCCTTCTTTTTCAATCCATTCTGGATCCCCACACATCCAACCCGTCCCCTCACCACCCGAAGCCTTGTTATAAGAATCTTACTGATCCTGTTCCAGTAAGGGCAGATAGAGGAAAAAGCACAGGCAGAGATCCTAAGGAGGAAGACCATAATGAGTTTTAGCAACTTGAAAGATCACGAATGGCTTCCATTTCACTAATTCCAGTGGACATTTTTCAGTGTTTATCTACTTGAATCCTCAGTAGCTTTTAACATTGTTGACCTCACCCTCTTCTTTGAAATACTCTTTTATTGACTTCCATTTCACAACACTCTACTGACTTTCTTCCTACCTCTTTGGACTTTCACTTTTTTTTAAGGTTCATCTTTTTCTGACTAGCTGTTAAGTGACAGAACACTTCAATACTCAGTCCCAGGCCCTTTTCTCTTTGTTCTATTATATCTTCTTAGGTATATATGCCAAGGCCACACATTCCATTAGCAGATTTATATCTCTGCCCAGATGTCTTTGAATTCCAGGTCCATATACCATCTGGTTATTTAAAATCTCCTCTTGGATTCCTCAAAGTTACTTCCCCAAAATCAAACTCTTATTTCTCCACCAAACCTGACCTTCTTCCAGTGTTCTTCTTCTCAGTGAATTCCTAATATCTCTCTCCTTCATGTCTCCCTGCCTAATACAGTCTGTCCTTAAATCCTCCTAATTTTCTATCGTAAAAATCTGTGTCTTCCATAAATTTCTCTCCATTACCCTAATGTAACTTACTATCATCTCTCCTAAACAATAGATTTCCTAAGAAATCTATACACATTTACTCTTGCTTCCCCTTCTTACTTGTTCTCTGATTAGTATTGCTACGATTTGCCAGATATGGAACTAGGTGCTGAGGTTTAGTGGCGAACAAGCCAAAGTTTTCTTTTTGCTGTAGATATCTAGTCAGATACCTTCCTTAGAATACTTTAACAGTTTTCCATTGCACTTAGGATAAAGATGAAAATCATGAATGTGGCCCAAAATGCATGGTCTGATTCCTACCTCACTATCTAGCCTTGTTATTTTTGCCATTCCAGTCATAACATCATTTCTCAGGTCTAGAAATGAGCCAGACTTTGTCCTATCACAGTGTCTGTCCAAATGCAGAGACTCTTCCTAGAATACTCTTCTCTCCCCTCTTGAAATCTCAACTCAGTCATGACATTCCTCAGAAAAATCTTCCGGATCCCTGTGTCAAGGTCAAATCTACCTATTATAGCCTCTAATAGCACTATTTATTTTTCCCTTGCGACACTTATTACAGTAGCAGCTTTATTTATGTATGTAATTGTAAAAATTAGTATCTCCCTCCCCACTAAATTTTAAGCTCTGTGAAGGGCAAGGACCATGCCTGATTTGCTTATCACTGTATCCCTTATCCTTAACGTAGTGCCTATCCCATGGAAGATACTTAATGTTAACAGAATGAATGAATGCAATATGTCTAAAGCAGGGGTTGGCAAACTACAGCCTGTGAGCCAGATCCAGCCCACTGCCTGTTTTTGTAAAGTTTTGTTGCAACTGAATAAAACTTTATGTGTTGTCTGTGGTTGCTTTTGTGCTGCAACAGCAGAGTTAAGTCGGGACAGACCCTAGACCATTGACCACAAACCCTAGACTATTGGCTATGTGGTCATTTACAGAAAGAGTTTGCAGACCTCTGGTCTAAAGGATTGAGTTTGAAAGAGTTGGTGAGAGTTGAACTAAGGAGTTAGGTTGGCTGAGGTAGGTTTGCATTTTGGAGAGATCACTCACATTGCAGTGTAGAGAATAGATTGAATGGGAGCAAATTCAAAGGCTGTTGCTGTAACCCAAATGCATGATGATGGTGCCTTGTTCTAGGAAAATGCCAGTGAAGTTAGAGAGAACGAGACAGATGATTGGTCGTTGATGGTGAAGGTGAGGAAAGAGCCAAGGATGGAGCCTAGGTTCTTGCCTGGAAGAACTGGTAGAATGGCAAGGCGGTAACCAAGAAAGAGAACGTGAGAGACATTGTAACATGTAGATGTTAAGATCATGGACTCCGGAGTCAGGCTGATTTGCTTTGCTCCTGACTGGCTGTAGACTTTGATCAATTTACCTAACCTCTCTGAGTTTTAATTTTCTCATCCATGGCAGAAAGTTATATAACAGCTTCTATTTTTCCTTTGAAACAAGGGATAGGACCAGAGGTTTGACGAGAATGAAGGAGGTCTGGGAGAAGTGCTGTAGAGAACTAGAGAGCCAACTGACTGTGAAACACGAAAGGGTTCAGTGACGGGTGCTGAGGATCCAGCTGCAGTTGGATACTACAAATATCTCGTGACACCAGGCTGAGCAACTTGAGTTCAGGAGCTCAGGAATAGGCAAGGCCAAGATGGACACTTGGATTTATCTGTGCTGGGTATTTTACTCTATTTGGTCAAAGAGAGGACAATGGGGTAAGAGCTAAGGTTAACATGACGGCCATAACACTAAGCTGGTTAGGGAAAGAAGTGAATATACGAGGATGGATAGATAGGGCAAAAGGTCTAGATGTTCTCGTGAGGTTAAAGAATAGGGATAATGGTAGTAACTGAATAAAGAACTGGAAAGGTAGGAGATTGTAACCCTAACTTGAAGATACAATGTGTAATAATAGAGTGCCTTTGATGCTGCAAACATAGGCTTTGTAGATCAGTGTCTGTAAGTCACTCATTAGTTCAATCTGCAGTGGTCTCTAAAATAGCACCAGTCAACTGTTGATCAAACCTACACTGTCCTTTCTTTAATATTCTATATCTTTTGATTTTATGGGTCCCACAGCAATGTCCATATAAAAGTGAAAGACCAGTATTACATAATTTGGAATTGTTATGCAGAATTAATAGGCATCACAATTCAGTTTAAGGAAAAGAATGCTAAATCCAAATCATCAAACAAAATGAGCAGTTAGGAATTAGGGTCAGAATTCCTATCAACTAAGGCCAAGAATTTAGAGGTCAAGACCTGAGCTGCATCAGAATTAAAAGTCAGGAGCACAGGAAATCTGAGGCAGATGCCACTCCAAGACCAAGAGCCCTGCAGGTGGAGTTGCGCTGAGGATCTACAGAATATTCCCTCCAGGAGATCACAGTGAAGACATTAAGTAGTTTTTCACCCCAACTAATCTGTCGTGAAATTTAATCTGCACACTTTTAGTCTACCCTTTTTACACATAGGAGTGTAGAGTATTACTGCCTTAGCCAACAAAAAGATAGTTTTGAGAAAAACGGGTCTAATCTCTGACTAGAGAAAACTTTTGGCAAGTTATTGGGGTTCTGACTAGAAATGACCAAACCATTTTGTGCATTTCTCCATACCAAAATAGTGTCCTTAGTAACACATTTTCCCCATATGTTTCTATTTTACCTTTTTAACCTTATGTTTTTACCATTTTGCCCACAGATGTTATACTTTCCCTACTGTGGGTATAGAAATTGCATTCCAGTGCCAACAAAAATA